TTTGAAACAGGTCGTGAACAAAATGGACTAAAAATCTCGTTCCTTGAATTTATCGGCAGTCGTGTCCGTGAAGGAAGAAAGGGTAGAAAGCTGAAGTTTTAGGGCCCCAGGCAGAATGAATTGTCCTCCCCACAGATGAAACACTGAATAATGATAACTGCTAATTAGGAAGTCGTTCATAGATTTCTCCAGCGTGACAGCATCAAGCGAGGAAGTGCACATGTTGATTGCCAAGATACCAGAGATGTCTCCAGATCGGGCCCACGTAAATGATTTATCAGTGATCCAACTATCTAGTCTAATTAATAGACATTAATGTCGTTATATTTCTTTACGGCCTTTTGAAAACCGGCCGAAATGATCCGATCGTTAACAGTATCTGAAATTCGTGTCTCCCTGGGGCTGTCTCACTTTTCAACATGATATTTCCTTTTCGTTCGTTACCAAGCCCTGAGAACAAGTACTATTAGTGCCATCTCATAAATCTTGATTTCTTATGCCATTTTTGAACACCTTGTACGTTTTCCCTTTCGGTTGTCTTTTCGCTTATTTCGCTCTTTCGAGAAATTTCCGTTAAGGTAACGATTCTACGCCTTACGTATGCCACGAGCGAAAGTGTATCTCTAGTTACAGTGAAAACTTAACAAATGAAACAAACTTTATTAGTTGATGACAGATGAGCATTTTTTCGTGGATGATGTCGGGATGAATTCACAATTCTATTCGCCTGGATCGCTATTTGTAAAGTAAAATTGATGAAAGGGACTAGAGAGAGAAATGATACGGACGTCTCATATAACCTTTAACTTTCTCAGGACATGTTATCTGGGATTATTATCAAGGTCGAAGCCGTATTTTTGTTATAACCGTTCACCGCAGGACCGGGCTTAAAAGTCCGAAAAGGAACCGATCCGCCCAAATCCCATCCCGATTCGAAACAATCATCCGAGTGAAAAGTCTATAACGTTTCTACCGTAATGGCCCCATGAATATTTAAGGTGGATATCGTACCATTGTACTTTCTAAGAGGAACAACCGCTCTGATTGTAGAGAAATGACCTCTCCTCCCATGCAAATATCTCCTTTTGTGTCACGATCGACTTATTCCGCCAGACACGACTTTATTTCAAATAAATATGGTATGACTTATATAAAGTAGGAATTAGATTCACGAACAGGGCGGAGCCTTTTTCCACCTGAAACCTTCGTCTTGCCCGAATGAACGGGGATTAATTTGCACCGTCGTTTGGTTAACTTTCTAACGTCTTAATTAATATACAATAAAAATTTAAAACTATCGTTTTGTTAGTTTCAACTGGTGCTTCCGCCTCGAAGGACAAAAACAGGACGGAGCAACGACCCATGTGCTTCGACTTCCTTGATAATTAAAAATACAGCACGTTCTTTGATAAGCATATAGAATGAGCTGTATTTCAAACTTTTATTTTTGTTTTCCTACAACTATCAAACCATTTTTGGCGATTTAGTGCTATTTTAATTTGGCAATATTATTTGCAAACCCGATACGACCAACAGGAGAACAACTCTTGCCTACCCATTTTCCCTCAAAGAAATAGAGCAGTTTGTGATATTTTGGACAAAATTTCGAAAAAATTTTTTTGTTAATCTTAAAGAAAATTTAGCCGATACCTGACCCATAAGCAAAATAAAAATACAGTTCAATTTCTCGACGGCACCAAACTGAGCCTCAAAAACAACGAAAAATTCTATGATTTTTTCCATCCAATTTTGTCTGAATATTTCGAGTTACGACTAGACTGAAAAGAATCAATTGAAAGTAAAGTGAAATATACAAGTGACTTTAACATGCGAGAAAAAAGGTAGTCCAATAAGGACTACTAGCCACTAGGGTGACCCAGACTGTGTTAAGTGTGTTTTCTAGCACAAATGTGCTATTTGGAAATTGGTTGCTGCTCAATGCTAACAATAGTTACTCAACACTAAAAGATAGTTTGGTGCATGCTAACCATCCGCCAGTGTGCTATTTCGCCAACTTTTTTTTATTAATTTAGGTTAAGGTTTGATGTACTCACCACTTATCGTTTGTTTATAATAAAAGAGTTCGTCGACAAAGAAAGGTAGAAACAAATTAGATTACAAAATAAAACACAAAACTGCTTATTTTGTTTAGCTTGTAAAAAAACGAGCACGTTACAGACTTTTATTAAGGTTAAGTTTTCATTGAAAAGTTTAAAGAAGAATACAAATGAAAGGAATATTGTAGCTTCAGATTGTAGATGAAACTCACAAAAGAGGGAGTTTCATTAGGATAAATTCAATATCCTCAAACGACATCCAACAATTTCTTCCTTTATCCTCTATGATTGATTTACTAATTTCCTCCCAATATATTGTTTGCTTACAATGAAAGAGTTCATCGAAGGAAAAGAAAAGAAGAACCTGAAGATTATTAGGAAGGAAAACACGAAACTGTACTTATTTTGTTTAGGGGCCGACAAACGGTTGAGGTCATCGTTGGCTATCTGTGTGTTTTCCTTCTTTTTCTGGTTTTCATGCTTTGGTTTAAACTGCAGCCATTTGAGCGTGTTGGTCTGGTTACTGACTCTCTTCTTTTATCTGTATACTACTTCGATGTCTGAAAGTGCTAGCTCTTGTTTGTGCCTCAGGTTGGCAAATACAGAATAGAAACAAAACATACAATAGAAAACACACAATTCATTACCACAAACATAGAAGTCTGGTCACATTCGCCTCCCCCCCCCAGAGAACTCGATATTCCTCAAGGCGGGGTTCAAACCACTCCATTCGCGCTAATAACTTACTTTTACACTCCAAACGTCACTCTCTCATCCAAGAGTATACTCTATACTCCTCGGGGTGTGGTTTATCAACCCATTCCTTTCACGCTAATAAATTATATTCATTTCAATAGATCAACATAAACACAACACAAACACACATATAGTGTTTAAATAGTGGTCTACGATTTTACTTGTTTGGCATTATAAACAATAAATTAAGCATATTTACAACAACCACTCTCAAAAATATTTCAAAACCTATATGTTATCTTCCTGAATACTAAGCACATTAATTAAGTTGTTTTATGAAACAAATATATTGCTTTATTATCCTTTTTAAGTTCGAAAATTAGTTTAAAAAATTCTAGTAATTACAAGTTTAACCCAGATGTAATTTAAGACGAGTTATCTTGGCGATAACCTTGCAGTTATATCAATTCGTGCTTACTAGCACTTTTTCATAAATTGCCGAAATTTTTTCTTTCTTAAAGCACTGAAATAATTTCTCAGAGAAAAGGAGGCTTCCCTTCCGTCCAAGATTTGTTATTTAAATTTAAAACCATCTATATAAAGGTGCTTTTGTTGATAATTCAAACAAAACAAGACTGTTCTACTGTTTTTGTTTCCTATGATTTAACTCTTTCATTCCTGGTGGTTAATATTGAATTATTTTCCCTTGTTCTAATTTCTTGTGTCCCCTTTCTAAACTTAAAGTGAAAATTCCAAGGGAAATCTCTGGAAATAAAAATTCGATTATCCAATATAATTTTTCATCTCCTTGGCTCAAAAAAGATATTATCATCGGGAAAGATCAGTGTTTTGTTTTAAAAGTTTTTCACGGTTGATGTTATCTTGGGTCAACTTATTCAAAAGATCATTGTTACTAAGAAAGTTTTGCCTTGACTCTTATCGCCAGTACACTTGAAAGTTACCAAAGAAACAGACAGAGGTTAAACTGCTTAATTGAGACAAACTGAAGAGAGAATTAAGAAAAAAAACCTTGTGAAAGTTTTCCCAAATCTGCACTGTTAATCTGAAGGTGTGAACAGTGATGTAAACGCGAATATGTCGGCTCTCCATCGATCACCGGCTAATTGCTCTTCTGCCATTGTCTCGCATCTCGTTCTTCCTAGGTGAATGGGTTTCAAGGAACGCCTTTTAAGGATTTTCGAAAGCCAAAGTGATCCGCGGATAAGGCGGAATGTAGGGATCTGGGAATCTTAAAACGACCATCCTCGCCGCTTCTTGTTCTATGCCCCTCCAGTTCGAATTTCCCCTGATGTTTCGGCACTTTCGAGGTACGATATTTCGTGTTAACAAATCTATTAGGGTGAGCCGTAGCAAACAATTACATTCTGGGATAATTCTTACGTTACAAGTTTTACAACTTTCTAGTGTACTTAAGGTTGCGGTCGGAACTTGCTCCGGTTTTTTCCCTCCTTCTCTTTCACCACCTTTAACAAAATTCAAATATCTCTTACATCTTAGATAAAGCGGGAAAATATTAAATCTGAGGCCGCAAGAATTGAAAATATCAACGTAGTTTTATTCGAATAAAAAAACAGGGCAAGCAAATCAACTTTTTATACCCATTTTAATAAGTAATTTATTTAATATATATAATAAATCGTGAAATTTCTCGTGGAGCTCTACGGACTGATAAATCATGAACTTGAGTCGTGCCGATCATCCTGCTCCGCCTATCTCTGCTATTCAGATCTGTCAGAGTTGTTTGCATATTTCCTCGTCTTTAGTGGTGTGTTTGTTTAATAAAAATCACTCTCAGTGAAACGCAAGACCTAACGTAAGAATATCGCGAAATGATGAAACGTTCTTGAGATACAAAAGCATAGAAGATATCTGAACAACAAACTTCATTTTAAAGAAAACTTGTATTTTACTGATTTTTTGATCATATAGATTATAGGTTTGAGAATTAGTCTCTTATCCTTGCATTTCTTTTACCTTGCGTTGTCGCTGGTTGCGCGGTTTTGAGCTGACAATAATATAGTCAAAACAGGGAGCATTGGCGGAATTAGTGCCGTGACCGTGTGAAAATATGTTTTCTGATCCCATTTCTAACATGTATTTGCAATATGTAGTAAACGATACAAATAAAACAATTTAAAAAACTGTACAAAACTACAAAAAACATTTTAGTAATATTACTCATGATATTTAACATTTTTAAATAACATATTTTTTATTTTATTTTAGGGATTGAAGAAAAGGACAGATGAGAAGCAGCAAGTCGGATAAAAGGTATGGATATTATCATTAATTGAATTTTTCAAACCTAAATTACTTCCTCAGTTCTGTATGACGTACAAGTAAAAGAAGACAAACCTTTGAAAATTATTCGGTATTTCTTGATCTTCACGATAATCGTACATTTCTCTTTCAATATCAATACACCTGCTGTAACCACAAGTTTAATAAAAGCAAAAAAATCGTTATTATCTTTTTATGGCTCAACTTGTGTTTTGTAAATTAGGCGAAGAGAACATAAAAATTGTAATACGGTATTACACGACTACAAGTGTGAAGGAGCATAATTTTTCTTGTAGATCAAAATGATACACCGGTAATTTTCATGGTTAAGAGTTTTACGGGTCGTAAGCATTAAATCTCATTATCATGTGTGTTTTTATTATTTTTAGTTTATGTTACATTTGTTACCATTTAACAAGATTTTTTAAGACAATATAATTGAACGAGACCTATTCCTATTATAGAAAATATCAAGTTGATCTTTATCCGAATAGGTGTTGATGATGACATGAGAGCCTAAAAGGTTTCACATATAAAGGCAACGCTAATTATTTTAATTATAGAAGGTATTAATTATATAAGGAGGAAATTAATTATCCGGAAAACCATTTCTCCGAAACAAGAAAGCATCTGAAAGATATCCTAATGACTTCCTCATCTTCACACAAACTGTCCCACGGATGCTCTTTTCGTTTCAGATGTTGCAAATCTTTTATATAGATAATTAATTTTTTGATTATGTCCATCTTGATTTTATGGAACTTCATAATATGTTGATGGTTTGGGAGTAAATTTTCTTTTCCACAACAGGCATTTATTTTGTCAGACGCGTTTCGGTCTAACATAGACCATCTTCAGTGGCTAAATAACAAAAGTGGTACAAATTATATACTAATTATATGCAGGCAATTAGATAATTAAATTTGATGTAAGCTAATAATAAATACTTTACCAAAATGATTATTATAACATTTTGTTATATAATTTATTATGTCCTAACCTCAAATTTCCTTACCTGCATATGACCATTTTGTTATATGGTCACTGAAGATGGTCTGTCTATATTAGACCGAAACGCGTCTGAAAAATTAAATGCCTATTGTGGAAAAGACAATTTACTTCCTACCTCAAATTATACGGACAATTGTACTAATTGGTTAAAAAGGGCCAACTAGTCGAGAAGAAAGTCGAGGCACGCTCCGTCTCATCACGAAGTTTACGCTCTTTAACACTCCATCCCTCCACTTTGTGCAATCACGCCCTGCTCAACCATTCATGTATTCACAGACGGAATCCTCGAGACAAGGATCTGGATATGGCGAAAGGAGTGCCCTTTGATTTCCTTCTGCTTCCTGGTCAAACGGTTTCGGCAATCACCGTAGATCTTTCTCCATGAGTGACGGCGTTACCGTCATTTTTTACAGTAGCCTCCTGTTTATCGAAAGTGGCTGGTGTGAAAACACGACTAGAAAACTAGATATATTGAAAAATCATTAGTAGACAGAGTTCTAATCATTGCGCAACAGAAGATGATAATCGTGGGAGTATTATAAAGTATTATTTTTATATAAGTAAACAGAAAAACTAAGGAAACAAGAAACTAAGGAAACATCCATAACGATGGGAAGAAGACAGAAATAACGTAATTGATACTGAAAAATTACTGTTACAAATCAGTCATTGTAATAATAATTCCTTCTCATCTTCCTTATTTCAAAGAAATCAAGGGAACTGATATAAAATATAATATTATAAAATCAATAATAACATGTGATTTTTGCCTAATGCTGTGTTGTGTTCTGGCGATTCCAAAAGTATAGCAGGCTATTCAATTTTCCTTTATACTTTTATTTTAATTTTTTTAATTAGAGTTATGAAGCAAGTATCTTTAAACTGATGCTATGATGATGATTAGTATACAAGGAAGCGGGCTTTGGTATTCAAGCATTGTAGCCTTTTAGCTTATTTTAGTTTCCTAGTTGCTTAGTTCAGTTCAATCTTTTTAAGAAGTAGAGGGTCATTGACTTTTATTCCTTCAATTCTTTTTCCCGGGTCAACTTGGTGCCCTAGGTTATGGTTCCATTGATTGGTTGCTTTGTATTCGAAGATAATATGGATGTCAGTTTCTTCCTCCTCATTGCATAATCGAAAAATGGGGTCGATGAATATACTCATGCATTTTCCCAGTAACCGGTATAACTCACTCCCATGAGTATTACCCTAATTGTAGCAATGTTTATACCAGTTTTGGCGAGGGCTTTTCAACTATGAGTTTATTATGTCTAGTACCTCTATAATTCAGCCATTTTTTTCTGGGCCCATTCGGAGGTCGGGGACGGTCTGGATCTCTAGTTAGTCCTGAAGATCCTTTTCTAGTCAGCATGCTCTTTGTTCATTACCCTAAATACTTTTGCGTCTTGGCACTAAAGATATTGCCAGGTTTCCCAGTTGTTGGATGCATTCACCGACTATTTTGGATGTGACCTTCTTACGTGCTAATGGTTTTAGAGCTGCGTGACTTTTTGATCTCATGAGGATTTGTTTGTTCATCTAAGGTTTCTTGTGACACAAGCATTGTCAGTTTTTCTAAAAGGCCGAAGAGTACTTTCCTCAAGAGTTTGTTTGCTCATATTTTCGGTTTTCACAGCATTTATCTGGCCTGGTTCCTCCAGGAATGGGTATCTGATTTTATTTATATTGTCGCTCAACATGCCTCATTCAAATTATTGGTGTCTGTAAGAGCTTTTCCTTGTTATATTTTGGAAGTCCAATAGTTCATTTCAGGCAGCTGATGGGGATGTTGTCAACATGCATGGATTTTCTCGTATTTGCACACTGTTTAATCTTTGATCAGCCTGTTTTTGTTTGAGCTTTAGCCTACTAGATTAATGAGCTATACCTTACGTCTTGTTACTGCCGAACAAGCCATTTTCAGCTTTAGTCCCCAAGATTTACCAACAGTTCTTCTGCTAGCCATTAGAGATATTTTACTTTAGGTTATGATGTGTAGGTTCCAGGATAATTTGTTGGTAATGATTTGTCAGTGTATCTTGTAAGATTTTGTATGGTAAAAGCATTGAAAGCTGATATTTCAACATAAAAGATTTTGGTGTTTTCACCTAATATATCAAACCCGTAGATACATCAGGCAATGGATGAAGAATAAGTCCTCGGTGGTGAAAGAGACATGCGAAAAACTTCATCAACGGTTTTTATCTAAAATAACGGCATAACTATTAAAACGAGGACGTGTTAGGACTAGAACAATAGTTTGACTTGACTACAGACTCCGAAGGCAGATGTGGGGAAACAAGCCTCTGTAGATATTGCCAGAAAGAAGAAGAAACAGAAAAACATTGCATCTGTTGGTGTGAATGGTTATGCAGGCTGAGATTCTTACTCCTGAAAGAATAAAAGGCCGATCTCAAGGATACACATGGTATTCCTTGATAAAGGTTTGGGTCAAAAGCCTTAAAATTGAGGAAAATTGGGAAGTTTTAGATAGTAATGGAGATGCACAATAGGCCAATACTGGTCGCGGTGGGTATATCGTTAAGAGCCCGACTACTTTATCCTTCAATTTTTCCCTAATTAGTTTAAATACTCATACTTTGAGCTTACTCAGAATAAACTTGGCCTTTTGTAGTTCATGTCGAGAGACGTGGTTGTAGAATTCTCATACCTGACGATGAGCTAAAAGCTCGAAATCCTTATCGTTGGAAAACAACTTACTGTGAGTAGGAACTATCTTTTTAAAAGGATTGAATACCGCACTCACTCCACCATTCATTTCCAAACTTGGCTCGGCTCCTTCATTGGTTTTGGCCCATTTTCACGATTTCTTCTTTTCGTTATGTTGCAAACAATGTTGATAAATAATAATAATAAAATAATACAGCCAATTTTTTTCATTTTTGTATAGTGTGGATTTTGTTTTGTGTATATAAAGTGGGGTTTTTTTGAGCCGACAGACAGCTGAGGTCATCGCTGGCCCTCTGCGTGTTTTTCTTCTTCCCTTTTTCTGGTCTTTCATGAGTATTTTGTTTTAAACTGCAACCATTTGAGCGTGTTGGTCTGGTTCCTTACTCTTTTCTTTTATCTGTGTACTAATTCGATATCTGAAAGTGCCTCTCGTTTGAGCTTCAGGTTGTCAAATACAGAATAGAAACAAAACATACAACACACGCATATAAATGTTCATTATCACAAACATAGTCTGGTCACATTCACTCCTCCAGAGTATTCGATATTCCTCGGGGAGGGGTTGAACCCACTCCATTCTTGCTAATAACTTACTTTTACTCTCTAAAATCACACACTCACCCCGAAGTATTCGATATTCCTCGGGGCGGGGTTATATACCCCGTTCCTTGCTAATAAATTCATTTCAATAAATTAACACAGACACAACCCAAGCTCACAAAAACACTACATACATTTTAAAATCCGTATAGCACTGAGGACTAGACGGCGATTTGTGCCCGCCGCCGTGCCCCAAGACTACGCACAGGTCGGAAGATATGCCAAAATATTGTTTTGTATTTTTAATTTTTTATTATTATATTTCCCAAATGTTTAGTCCCCATCCTCTTCATTTGTTTTTGGAATCTATATAAGCTTTCCAAACCTTTTCCTTGTATATATATTTTTCCAATGGAGTTGGTTCTAACAGTATGTCTAAGGCGTGTTGATAGGGTTGCTGTCATTGTCCCTGTGTTGCGTAAATTGGCTAATCATTACAATTTTTTTTTTTTTTGATAGCTTGTTTTGATTGAACTTCAATCTAACAGATTACTGCGCCAAGGAATATCTTATGCCTTACTATTGACCTGTGAACCAATATGTTATAAATATCAGCTAAGTAAACTTGAGAAAAGATTTCTTTGTACTGTATGTTGACAGTTTACATTTAATGACTTAAAATATCTAACTTCGGCCAAAATATAAAATAAAATAAAAAATAAAGAGAAAAATTCCGAAATAAGGGAGTA